CCCCTCCTCCATTGTTGAACCTATGCTTTCCAAAACTGGAAACTTTGCCAAACATTTCTCTCAAACTGGATGGAAATCTGATTCCAAGTGGTAAGTCTCACTCTGTTTGTGACTGTGACTCTCCACCGTTGCCTGGCTTCCTTCCAGCGTCTCTCTCCCTTGGCACTAGCTCTTGTTTAGAGATATCTTCACATTCCTCTAAGTGTGCAGGTTGTACAGAATAGCCAGAAATCAGGATCATTGTACCTGGCTTCTGACCTTGTGTTCCTCTTGACTGTGCTTCAACAATTGTACTGTGGGATATGTGCGTGTGTTGGAAGTGCCTGTGAAGTAAACCACGCATGAAATCCCCGTGAGAGCCTAAAGAAACTCCTTTGTTGCTGCAGATATGCCAAACGTCTGCACAAGGTGGTGAGAAGGCTGGTCCCAAACTGTGACGTTCGGTTCCTGCTCTCTGTGAGCGGCAGTGGGAAGGGGGCTGCCATGGTCACAGCGGTGGCGTACAGGCTGGCCGCTCAGCGCAAGCAGATCGACGCCGCTCTCGCACCGTTCCTCCTGTCCCTGGAGACCCTCAGAGAAGTTAAGGACAAAATGAGGACTGAGCTGGAGTATGGGCTAAAGCGAGAGACACAAGCCAGTGCCTCAGTGAAGATGTTACCCACGTACGTCTGCGGGACACCCGATGGAACAGGTGGGGTCATTTCCTGATCACGGGGAGGTGATTCAGGAGGTGGTTCAGGAAAGTTGCCTGTCTGTTTTCTGGGGGGAACTTGCCAGTTATTCTGTCAAAAGCCAGGGGGATTTATGTTGGCAAATGGGTGCTCGCTGTGATGTTATGTGGCTGGCCCTTCAGCCCTGTGCCAGCAGACTGATGAGATAAATGTCATAGGGATCAGTGTGCCATCACCAGTGCAGGTGAAATTTCTTGGGGATGCGTGGCAGAGTATGGCATTCTGACTGCAAACCTGCTATGGGAAGCATCAAAATGAAATGCCTTTCTTCTCTTATAGAGAAAGGAAAGTTCCTTGCCCTTGATCTTGGTGGGACAAACTTCAGGGTTCTGCTGGTCAAAATCAGAAGCGGGAGAAGAAGATCGGTGCAAATGTATAATAAAATCTTTGCCATTCCTTTGGAGATCATGCAAGGGACAGGGGAAGAGGTAACCTCTAATGAATGTCTAACTGATCCAACAAGGCCCATTGCATGGGATTACTGTGAGATTTATATAATTTTTCTTTCCTTCTAGCTCTTTGACCATATTGTTCAGTGCATAGCAGACTTCCTGGACTATATGGGGATTAAAGGTGCTCGACTGCCTCTGGGCTTCACCTTCTCCTTCCCGTGTAGGCAAGCCAGCATTGACAAGGTAAGAACTGCAGCATGGAATGCATCAAATGGCAGCTGTGTATCTGCTTGGTGAACGACATTGTTTTGAGAGTGACTTGATGATTTGGAGTTAGCAAGCAAAAAACTGTTCCTCTAAATATTTTCCAAGCAGGACTTCACAAGGGTGAAAAGATATATGTGTGTGTAAATTAATTGTTGGAGAGAATGTTTCACCTGGTTTATGGGCATTTTATTATTCTACTGTGCAAGCTGGTTGTGTTTCGTGACAAAATTATCATCCTATATGCATATGGGAGGTGGAACTTTCACCTTTTGTATCTGATAAGAGATAGATGTTACTTGCTTTTATTCTACAAAGATTAAGACCTTATGATAGCAAAATGACTACACATTTTTAATAGCTCAGGAATCTCTAATACTGCCTTAACTCTTTGATGGCAAGAGATGACAGATGCCTCCTTCTGCTTGCTCAAGGTGTCTACCTGACTGCTGCACAGCTCTGACTGTTTAACTTCTGCACTACATTAGTTTCTTCTCGTTGAGTATCAGTGGAGAGACCTGAGCTTGTTTGTTCAGCTTGGAAGGGTGGCTTTTTGACAGATATAATATTCATCTTTCTAGATCTCATGTAAGAAAAAAAGTAGAATAAATCAATTAAGTTCAGGAAGAAACAATTCTCAGTTGTTCTGATACATTTCCAAAGAGGGACGGGTGTGGTTGTGCTGCTTCATTCTGGTCAAGTATGTGAGATATTGGGGAATTGAGAGATTGCTGGTTTATACCATGTTTTTATATCCGAATGGGTTTCACAGTCACTTTGAAGTCTAGAAGCTAGACTGTTCTATCTCAATTTTCATACCTCAGTTGAGAGTATAGCAATAGGACTTGGCTGTTTGTGGGGAGACCATTCAGTATGCCTTCCAAACTTAGAGCACAGCATTTATGTCTTGACAAATGATGAGGAAACAAATTCCACAGCAGTGGTGGTGGCAAACTGAGACACATCTGTGTCATAGTCCCATAGTTTGTCACTCTGTATGTTTGATCTTTTCCTGTTGCTAGAATTTGAGTTGTTTTTTGTTGTGTTGTTTTTTGTTTGTTTTTTTTTTTTTTAAGAGTAGCTTTTTCTCCCAGTTGCCTTCTTTTTTTTTCTTATTTGAATAGACAGCCCAGAGCCAGTCACCAAGTGGAAGGCTCATTACTTCATTTAATCTGGAAATCTACTTCTGTCAGGCCAGGTTGCTCTCTGGAAAGAAACAAATTCTTGTTGCCTGGAGGAGTGGAATTATACCAAGTGTCCTTCAGTAAATGAGCCAAATAGATGTTCATTAATGTTTGTTGGGTGTTTGATTATTTACAGCAAAAGTATATTTTACAGGCTTTCCTCCACAATGGCTATGTGCACAGGAGGTGAGATGAGAAGGTTTTCCAAATGACTGTAGAAGGCACTGAGCTGGCAGCATCTTGATAAACAGCCAAGTAAACCTGGAGTCACTACTGTCAGCAGCAGAGTAACAAAGATACACATGCACATGCTCTGCACTAGACACTCACAGCAACTTCTCCAGGGAAAAACATTATTAAAAAAAATAATGGGTGAGGGGTGAGTTGGAGACAAGAAAAGGACTGATGTGTGGAATGTTAAGTCTTCTCTCTGGCTTCACTCATGATCTTCCTCTTGTTTCAGGGAACACTTGTGGGATGGACAAAAGGTTTCAAGGCAACAGACTGTGAGGGTGAAGATGTTGTTGATATGCTGAGAGAGGCCATCAGGAGAAGAAATGTGAGCTACTCTTTTCTGCTTTTTTTAGTGTATTTAATGCACCTTCTCTCTTCCTCTGGGAGCCCACTAGTGATTATGACTTGTTTTAGGAGTTTGACTTGGACATTGTAGCAGTGGTGAATGACACTGTTGGGACAATGATGACATGTGGATACGAGGATCCGAACTGTGAGATCGGCCTTATCGCAGGTAAAGTGACGCTGAAGTGCCCCCGTGAGCAGAAAGCATGGATGCAGGTGCTAGGCTTCACACCCTGCTTAGGAGTTGGTAAAACAGCATCTTTTACTTGAGTTTGATATATGGTGTCACGAGTCATCTGGGATTCTGGGCAGATTTGTATGATACTCAACAGAGAACATAACACAGACAATATCCTGAATCTGTTGAACTTTTGATCATCTCTCTGATGGTGCCAAACAAGTGCATGCATGGTAAAAGGAAAATAAATATGTCTCCCCCAAGTCTTCAACCAGAAATACATCTAAGTGTGTAAGATCTGAAGCCTCAGTTGGAAAATAGACTCTTCTGGCTGGCTAAGTGCACCAGCTATCTCATTTTGTTTGGAGAACTTGTCCTTATATTAGTTCACGTAACCCATGTTGCAAGTGATGAGGCCCTGCTCACCAAACCATTTCAGACTTTGGTAGCTTCTTGGCTCTTGGCAGCATTTGCTTTTGGGAGTGTGCTGTCATGCAGGATAATTTGTGGTGCATCACAACCAGATTGGCAGCAGTGACTGAGTGGTGCTCACCAAAAAGTGCCGAAGCCATTTCCAACACATAACAGAGAGTCTTCATTCCTCTACACTGGGAATTGTCTGTGCGGGACCCATTTAACTTGGTAACACTCTGTGAGTTATAAATTACAGCATTCTTAGCATAACTGGCCAGCACTTGCTTCTGTAAGACATGGAGAAGTCTTTGAAATTTGGGATATGGAGAAGAGAGCTTTTACTACAATTGCTGCAGTCCTTTTCCCTGTGTTTCGGCTGCTACTTCACTTCTCTGGCTGAAGCCTTGTCATTTCTTTCCTCGTAGGAACGGGCAGCAACGTGTGCTACATGGAGGACATGAAAAACATAGAAATAGTGGAAGGGAATGAAGGAAAAATGTGCATTAATACAGAATGGGGAGGATTTGGTGACAATGGCTGCATTGACAACATCAGAACAAAATATGATAAAGAAGTAGATGAAGGCTCACTAAACCCAGGGAAACAGAGGTAAATGTCGTGGCCCTGGTGCTAAGAGCCTGATGAAGTCAGTCTTCAGGATACACCAGCTGCTTTGTAAGATGTGCTTAATGAATGAATAATCAGAAAGGAGGTTTTAATAATACTTTTTATTTGTTGTATGGCAAGCAACACAGATATCCTGAAGAAAAACAAAGATGTACATTGCTTCTGTTGCCAGAGTACTGTTTTCACCTTAGCACAGTTAGCAAACAGCATGGCTCTTAAGATTTCCCTGCAAAGTGTAGGCCTTGCTGTGTTCTCCCTCTCAGAGTGTTTTTTCAAAGGTAAAATACAACTTATTCAAGAGGAGAAACTGAACTTGGCTGTTCTTTGTTTGGTAAAGACAGCACTGATTACATGTGACTGACTGGTGAGTGCATGCAGGGGACAGGAAAATGTTTTGCTTCGGTGTGGACTCTGGCTTTAACACAGTGTCCTGTTTAACACTGCAAGATTTTTTTTGTGCTTCTCTTACCTTTTAGCATGGATAAATATGTTGTAATTAAGGTTTGCACTTGAAGTCACTGCAACAGATTTTTGATGTTTGAAAGATGAAGTTCAGTGGCTATTCCTCTGCAAGCTTTTGCTGCTTCTTTGAGAGTTGATAGGGCATGTGCTTACCACTCATGTTAAACAGAGCTAGTGTGCCATCTCTTTAAAAACACTTTTTTTTTTTTAAATAACATAACAGGTATGAAAAAATGACCAGTGGAATGTACCTAGGTGAAATAGTGAGACAAATTTTGATCGACTTAACCAAACAAGGACTGCTGTTCAGAGGACAGATTTCGGAATCACTCAGGAAAAGAGGCATATTTGAAACAAAATTCCTCTCTCAGATTGAAAGGTAACATTTTTAGATTTACACAGTTCAAATCCTTAGGGTCTTCTGGGACCTCTTGAAAATAATCTTCTACGAGCGTGTAGAGCCTTTTTAAAGAAATCAATTACAGTTTTCTTCTTTGCACACCTTCCCTCCCACCCCCCATCCCCAGAATAAAAGCCAAAAGTGAGGAACTGGAGGAGTTCCAGAATTATTCTGTAATTATACGAATTACCATTTCCTGTCCATGCAGCTGTGTTGTCTTGGATGCCTTAATATCAAGCATCATGATATTTGCAGTATTTCTTGTAGGACTTAAAAAAATACTTAGTTTAAAAAGTCAGTGATATGTTAATACCCTATGAATATGTCCTTACCTACACATCTGTGCATCATTGCAATGTTCTTCCAGGCTATTTGAATCCATTTCTACTGTTGAAAACCTTGGAAGGTAGTGTCTCAGCCTTGAGAGAAAAAATAACATAGTCAGGTGACTGATCTGGCTTAGCTCCCTCATGACTTTGGGAGTTAAGTGAATAATAGCTGTTGGTGCCTTCTGGAAATACAGTCTAACATAGCAAAGCACATACCAGGAGCGAGTTTTCAGTCTGGATTCGGGCTGGAATTTGCCTTAAAACAATTGGAGAGTGTTAGAGCTGGAGAAGGGGTCCCATTTCCTTTGCATCATGGCAGCCTGAGCTGCAAGCCTTCCATTTGCTTGCCTGCCCTAATGGGCATTAGCTTCCCCTAATGCCTTGTGCTGCGTGTGCTTCCCTCTGTGCAGCGACCGGCTCGCCCTCCTCCAAGTCCGGCGAATCCTGCAGCAGCTCGGCCTGGACAGCACGTGTGATGACAGCATCATTGTGAAAGAGGTGTGTGGGGCTGTTTCCAAAAGAGCTGCCCAGCTCTGTGGGGCAGGACTGGCAGCTATTGTCGAGAAGAAGAGAGAAAACCGAGGTGTGGAGCACTTGCAAATCACCGTTGGAGTAGATGGGACTTTGTACAAGCTCCACCCACAGTGAGTTCCTTGGTATCATTTCCCTTTGCTTTTTGCTCGTTTCCACTGTGAAGGCATACTGAGCTGTATCAGCTTTCTGCTGAGATGTTAAAAACTGAGAGGGAGGATGAAGATCTTACATATTTTCCTGCATCCTGTCATTTCACTTGCCTAGCCAAAGGATCAAAAGTTACAAAGTCAAGTCCAGTTACCACTGTGAGGGTCTTTTCGCTGGCGTGTTTAGCGAACTTACTCTTCTAATACTTGGTTTCCAGTATTTAGAGGGATTTCTGGAATACTGTAGAATCATTAGAATAGTTTGCGTCAGAAGGGTCCGTGAAAGGCCATCTAGTCCAAACCCCTGCAATGAGCAGGAACAGCTTCAGCTAGAGCTAGTTGCTCAGAGCCCCATCCAACCTTACGTGGAATGTTTCCAGGGTGTCCTAGGTGGGAAGCCGCATTCAGTTGCTGGAGTTTGGTCAGTATTTTGAGAGCAAGGCCTAGAAGTTGGTGTATTAGCTTTTGAGTTGGCAGAAGAGAGCCTCCTCCATGATCTCTAAAGGCAATGGGGGTGTCTGGCATCATGCTGAACAAAATTAAAGTGGAGAAATACAAATTAAAATCTGACTGTGTACAGAAACTTGTCTCTTTCATGAGTAGGAGGAAAAACAAACTGACACAGATGCTGTGGTGAACCAGTGGAATATGTTGCCTGAGGTTCTGGTTCCTTGCTAATAGATAAAGATCTCAGACCAGGAAGCGGCTGCTAAAATGTTCTGTTCTTCTCTCCCTTTCCTTTCAGTTTTTCTAGGGTCCTGCGTGAAACAGTCAAGGAACTGGCACCCCAATGTGATGTGACTTTCATGCTTTCTGAAGATGGAAGTGGGAAGGGAGCTGCCCTCATTACTGCAGTAGCAAAAAGATTGCATAATGTTGGACAGAAGTGAAAATCAGAGGCCAAGTAATTTCAGCACTGCCAGGCGTGTGCACTAGAGATTTCCTGAGTGGTGATTCAAGATAGTTTGGCCAGACACCAGTACGCAGGTACCTGTTTTCAGGGAGCAGCTGGTTTTTGACCAACCAGGATTGTGGATTTTTGTCCTTTGATAACTTGGATTGGATGTTTCTGCTCCCCACTGGCTTTATGTCTTGGCATACCACAGTCTACTCAGTTCTTTACTTCCTGCAGTCCATCTGTAATGCTCATGAGACAGCACAAACAAAGCAAAACAACCCAAATTTTGTCTTTTTACAATGGCTCAATTAAGCTACTGCACTACAAGTGGATTTATCACCAGTTTCTTAGGATTTGTTTGTGTTTTAGTTTTGGCTTCACCTGGCTCAAAAAATACTGAGGTCCCTGATGCTGCACCTATCTAATGGACATATTTGTTCAATGCTTCACAGGTTTTACAATAAATCTGAAAGTAAAATAAATTAATGGGCTTTGGTCAGTGATGCTCCCACCTCTGGTACATTGGTTGTGAGTTGTATTGTAACGCGTCCCTGAGCACAAGAGGCATGTTTAATAGATGAATGTAAAGGAAACAAAATATGATTCTATAAACTATGAGTTTGTGTTAAAATACATTAGTGCAACTGAACGCACATACACCTAAAGCAACACTGGACAGGTTTTGACTGTGACCGATTCCTTTGATAGCGGGGAAAGAGAGAATGTAGGATTCTGTATCCTGCAGGGTCTGCTGTGGCTGTGTCAGGCTACAAGGGAGTGTATCAAATCTGTTCATCTTTGGGCCACTAACATGGCTGTATAGAAAGAGACAAAAAAAACCCAACCAAACAACTGAGTTTTTGAAACTCTCTTCTTTGTTTTCCCTCAGTTATCTGCTTGCCTGTTCATGAGAGGGTAGTTTCCATTTTGTGGCGAGGAGGTTATCCTTGTTTTTAATTTTCTGTTGCCCGCTGCTCTGCCTATCTGTAGTCTGTTGTAAATATTTCTGTGGTGCTGTGAGCTTTTGCTTCTCTGTCTAGTACCTCTTCTGAGTTGGGGAAAAAACATGCAGGCAAGTGCGAGCTTTCTTTAAACCCGTTTATACAGTGCTCAGCAACACTGCAGTTATTATGAAGGTGGCTTGAGGATAGAACCCATGCCCTCATGTGACCAAACGTCCCTCACCTGATTTACTCATCTCAAAAAAATGAAACCACAATATGGTACAGAGAAGCAGCAAACCTATAGCCTGATATTCTCTGTTCTTGGGTATTCCTGTATCTCCTTCTAATTTTCTTTTAGGTATTTGGTTCCTTTCAGTCTGGCATCAGAAAGTGGGGCCAAGAAATGTGCTTTAAGCCTGCTTTGGTCAAAAGTAACTATTGTACAGGAGGATAAGCAGTTAATTTTATGTAATAATCTGTTAGAAGGCTGATGGGTTCAAGTTTAACAATGGCAAATGCAAAAGTTGAAGCTACAGACCTTTCCTGTTTTGTAGTTCTTAGAAGTACGTCAGCAGTCCTGTGTCTGTGTTGGAGTCAGTTGATGGGTAAAATATAGTACTTGGAAATAGTTTTCAATTCTGAAGGAATTCCTCATGGTGCTGAGCTCACTATACTGAGCAGTTGGGAAGAGACAAGTTGTGAATTCATATTACCTTCAAAGTATTATGTTCAGTGAATGCACATTATGATCTTTTGTAAAGAAACTTAATATTTTACTTTTTCTTTATATTTCAGAATTCACAGAGCTACAGAAACCAAAGCTTGCTATGTAGTGGAGGCAAAGTTGTTTGGAATGTATGTTTTTTTCTTGGTGATGAACAGGCTAAATTTGGAGGGACTGGGTATAGAAAGAAAACCCATCAGGTCTTGGGGCTATGGGGAGACTAGAATAGCTCTTCTGAATTAGCCGTTTTTCCCCTCAGCGCTCTGAAGTCTTCTATTATCTGTGTAATTTTGGGTCCTTTTTGGGGGAATGGAGTGTGCTAATCTACAAAAGTCCATCTGTGGATGAAGTATGGCCCTGTGTATCTGGAATGAGGTGATGTGGACTTGCCTCAGGATGACCACGTGAGTATGGTGCAGAGTGTCTCTTGCACTTTTATGCTAAAGACTATTCTGCACAATGTGAATGCAAATCAGTAACAAAACGAGGTAAACCCTATCCATGGATCCTTGCTTTAGGTTTAGAAAGAGATCCTATATTGCTTTGATCTTTCTTTTTAGTCTTTTTTTTAAAATAAATATTCGCAGAGTTGGTTTACACCTCAGCTGCAGTTATTCCTTTTCTGCAGTAGATTAGGCCCACACAGTGATATTGTTTTGCATCTGCAGTTCTTTTCCAGTGAGCCTGTGGGTGTCGTGGAATCTGATCACATGAACCTGAAACTGCTCACAAAGTGCTCAGTGACCTACAGCTCTTGTTGAGGTCCCTAAGGCCCAGGACACGCTTGCTCTTGCCTTTTCCACAGGCTGCCGGCTTGCTCTGCAGCTAGGCAGCTCCCACACAGCTCTGATACGCATCTGCCTGGCAGGGAGATGGCATCTAAACTGGGAATGCTGCTGCTTTCCGAGAAGGAATGAGCAAAGATTTGCTGGGTAGCCCTGGAGAAGGGAAGGATTGGTTACTGCTGGATTTTACCAGGGGTACGAACTTCACGTGTAGTTTCCCAGCGTTCCCATAACACACTGACGCTTCAGCTGATTCCAAATCAGAACATTCTCCTCCTGGGTAATGATGCAGCATCATCTTCCTGATTATATCGACATGTGGAAACTCAAGGACTATTGCAAAATTGCAATCTCCCTTGTATAGATTTTAAGCTGCTGCACCAACCCCCCTCTTTGCACATCGTATGTGGTGATTTGGCTTAAAGCCCTAGCTTAAAATAAAAGTAGAGACCTTCTGTTAAATGTAACACACCACAGCATATGCTGAAAAACATGTAGTACAATTAATCACATGAAGTTGTGAGTCAATTTAAAATAAAATGAGATTCTCCTGGTTTCACATCTTAGATGTGCTTTTCTACTGTGTTTTGGATAGCTTGGTGATGGTTCGTTTGTGTGTATTGTGGGTCCTCCCTCCAGTCAATGTGGTTAGTACTTCTTGCATTTACTGATTTTGTTTTGATGCTTCTTGAAGACATGAACATCCTTTTTCAGATGTAAGTCATACATTTGATTTGGAAAGTTGAAAGATCTTTAAATCACAGGTGTGATGGAAGTATTTACTGGGTGGAGGTACTAAGGTTTGTGCGTTTTAGAAACTCTCAGTAGATGGTTGCAGTTAACCTTTCATCTGTGGAGAAATGACGATCCTACATATGTCCATTTCCCTGCTAGAGAGACATTTTGGTGGCTATAGATTTGGACAGCGCTGGAGCTTGACTCGTGATCCAGAGAAAATGAAGTAGCAGCTCAGCAGTGACATGTTCCCTTTGTCACCCTGACAAAGTTCAAAAGCAAATATAGGATCATGTGTAAATCCTTCAGAAATCCTGATTAGCATAATCTCCCTTCTTGGGAAGTCAATATTATATAGGATTAGCAGATTACTGTAAGGGAGTTTGAAGCTGAAATGTAGGTAATACCAAAATGAAAGTGTTGCTGTGATTTATTTCTTTGCATTTGATGACATGAGCTGCCTTTTGTTTGGAGGTCTCAGATACAACGTTGTCACTCTTAGTAGGTGGAGAGCGAGGGAGGCAGGGAGTAGGGGGAGACTTGGTGAATGTTGTCCAGCTGTGGGTGAGCTTAGATTTTCTCTAGAAAGGACCTCCACTGCCTTGGACTGTCACTGAGGGCTTATCCAGTGCTGCATCCATTTGGTAAAGCTGATGTAAAGCAAGATATAAAACCACCAAAAGTTTAATTAATGTTTCCCCTTCTTTCATTGATACTATCATGTTGCAGGTGCACACTGCAGGTGCTGTAAACGTGATGGGTCATGTCTATCTGAGAGCTGAATGCCAAAATAATTTTTATCTTGTTGCGTGTTTTTTAATGTCCTCCAGGTGCTTTTTCTGCACCCTGTGACCGAGGGCCTCATGTGGCCCAGGCGTCTCTAGAGATTGTAAAAGCTGCCTGCTGTGAAGAGAAAACAGATTTGGTAAGAAATATAGTGAACCTGGGTTCCTCCAGAATACCCTTGACACTGACACAAGGAATTGGCTACAGGAAAATACGCAAAGGGCTCCAGACTGGAGATCTGTACAGAAGTTGAAGGTCCAAATGATGGAACCTCAGCAAGCCAAAGCTTGCTGGAAGGAGTGGAAGAAAGTCCTTTCATCCTCGATCTTTCTTGACTGATTATTAAAAAAAATAAACCAACAAAAAAGCAAAACCAGCCTAACCCCCCAAACCACCCAGACCCCGAATTCTTATTTTTCTCTAGAAAATCATAAGTTAAAACCAAACAGAAACCAAACAAAAGCTATATTTAAAAAAAAAAGAAAAGAAAAAAAGAAAAGAGAAGAGATGGAGAGAGACTGAGACTGTTTGACTGCCACTATATTTTCATTTTTCCTTTTGTTGGGAAGGATAAAGGCTGCTTGGAGAAGAGGGTAGAAATGTGTGAAGAGTATGGCACATCAACAGCCAAAGCTTCCCCATAAATCTGTTACTGCATATCAGAACAACTTTAAAGTAAGTTATAATAGTGGGGAAAAGGGATGACAGCAGTGCAAGGTGTGATATATTAAAAGCAGTGAATTACACAGACTGTTGAAGGATGTTAACTGAGTTAACTGGTTCGTTATTGTTTGGTGGGCAGGATAAAAGGTGGGGTTGCTGCCTAACAGGCATCCATTTTCTTTGGATGGTGAGGTGTAACTTGTTGGAGGTGGGATGTAGCTCCCAGCCCTAGCCTCTGGCATTTCAGAAATACCAAGGCTCAATTCTGAAATCCAGAAGTGTTGTTGATTCCATTTATTTTTCTGGAGGGCTCTTTTTGTTATTCTTAATTTGCTGTATGCTGTTTAGATGTTCATCTTGCCAAAGGTTTCTGTGCACCTGGGAAGTCCCCGTTCCTGTAGGGCTCTCTTGGCCACTGCCAGATCCTGCAGTGATGCTGGGCCATCTGTTTAGCGGTGGGACTGGGAGCGCTGCCTGCGAGGCCTTTGTGGAGGACTGTCCTCGTGGTTGCAGGCTTCCTCCCCTCCTGGGAGCGAAAAAAGGCTGTCCTCTGCTGCCACGGGGAGTTGGAGAGCAAGGAGATGTGGAGGGGATGAGACCCGCGGGGCTGAATTTAGCACAGGCACTCCCTCAGCGAGGGGGAAAGGCACCTCACGGGGCAAGCTGCCATCTCTGATGAGAGCCTAAATAAAGCGGGGTTGGGATGCCCAGAGCTGTTGTTGGAATGGAAGCAGTTAATGGAGCAGATTAGCTGGTGATGGACAACTTGGTGGGAGAGAGGAGCACTCTGGAGGAGGAGAAAATGGATGGCAGAAGGGCAGGGAGGGAACATCTGTGAGG